CCTCTCTTCCTTACCTGCCTCGATAAAAGGCAAGTGTGCGAAAATGAAAGGTGTGTTGTGCCAGCCAGAAGCTAAAATGCAGACAGGTCTTTCATCATGCACTTCCACAGAAGGGAGCTGCACTGAATGGCTAAGGCAAGTTAGAAAGCCTCAATGCGAGTACTTAGCAACTTGGCAAGTAGTAAGGGACAGGAAGGAGATCAGCCTGTGTTGTATAATCATCTCTCTGTAATATTATAGAAATCTATTTTATCTGGCAATCGCCAAAACATTTTTCTTATCCTTTCAAAATATTGAGTGAGTTCACAAATGACTTTCAATAACTGATCTGTATTCATTTTCTTTTTCTAAAATAAACTTGTCTAGGAAAAATAATGAATAACACATTCATTACAATAGAAGGTTTTAGAAGACATAGTCTGCCCGATACATTTCTTTACATCCAAAGAGTGTGGTAAGATAAATTCCGTTTTCAAGTTTCTGAATGGTATTACAGTCCCATTAATTTAAATAGCTAAGCCACAGTAAGAAACACTTCCTGTAAACTATTCTAGTTGTATTGATGTAAAATAGGAAAACTTACTGGAGATGAAAATGTCATCTGTGCATTTTTTTAGGAGTTTTTCATTATATTCTGCAATTTTGATTTTTTCCCTAGTTCAACAAAGCATACAACCCTTGTGTCTGTGACAAATAACAGCAAACAAAGAGTGTTTGCAGAAAACTTTGATTCTGATCTAACTAGTGCCATCTAACTTTGGCCACCTGTTTTAGAGCTGCGGGAACCATAAATTACCTTCTGTGTTGCATACAAGATAATAAATATATTCATTATCAGCACAAATCAAGCAATTAAGAGAAATATTTTGAGAAACAGCAAAAAGCATTTAAAAAGTCTCATATTTGCAACTTTATATCCTAACCCAGAGAGAATATGGATTCTACTCAGATGCAAAATGGGCATGAGGTGTACTACTATAAGACATATATACTACTAGGAACACTGTGAAGCCCACAGCTTCCAGGGACCTTGAGGAGATGTAACATCATGCATCATATCTGTATATCTACTGGAATTAGGGAAAGACGTAAGTGAGCTCCGGTGTCTCCAGTTAATAATACTGGATGGGTATAAGCTTCTACATCTTTGGTTGCAACTGTTTGACTTGCAGACCTACTTGAGAAAAGAGGTGTTCCCAGTTCTCCTCCACTAGAGAGAATTATTAGAAAGAATAACTTCATAGTGTTTTTCTCAGCTTGCAACAAATTTAATGAAAACTATAGTTGCCATTAAAAAGTTGGCTTTCTATTCTCCAAAGCAGCAGATAAAAATAATGGCAAATCCGTTTTGGCAATTTAAAATAAAATAGTTGGCTTAAGAAATGGTGGAAGAGTTTTCGTTACTTTTTTTCACACACTATTCCTACTTTCTGTTTCCTTCTCAACAGTCCAGAAATCAGATTTCTGGCATTAACACAAAACTAACCTGACGGTCCTAAAGATATTTAGAGTGCAGTCTTCTCTATGCATTGTGCAGTATTTTCTTGGCTACATTCAGCATAAAATATCTGCGAGGTATGGAAGCAGAACTAATACCACTGGTATCATATCTGGGAGATACAACAATTTCAAATCCAAGAGCATTGCTTATCATCTGATATTTCTGTGGTCTTGCCACCCTGATCTTTTGAAGGGAATGCAAATAGAGTAGATCCTTCCAACTAGTGCAAACACAGACAAAAAGCATCTGTGGGACACTGCACAGCCTCATGACAGGAGAATCTCATCATACCTGAGGTCAAGGACACATTTCTCTTCACCCTGATTTTATTTTGGTGGAAATTCATAAGAGCAGCAAGCCTCACTAAAAAAACCCCAAAAACCAAAAACCAAAGAAAAACAAACAAACAAACAAACTAACAAACAAACAAAAAACCACACAACCCTAAACACAACAGAACAAAGAGTTTACAGACATGTTTAAGTCACAAATAGGAAAAAAAAATCCAACTGTAACTGAGAGCCGATTGAGATGAATTTTTTTGGCTGGCTTGCTCTATTTTCTGCATCTTAAGAAGTTTATTCTGTAGAAGTTAATTCAGCCTGACTGGAACTGAGTTTGTGA